AAAGCCAATGTTTCGAACTAGGACCGAGGAGTACTGAGTTGTAGAATGAAATTCCAAAGTCCATTCAGGTGACTTCATCTTCCTTAGACAGTGAATGTCGGCAAGGTTATCTGAGGGGAATAAAAATGACTTAGATGCATTTGCCTTTATCTACTTCCCGTCACACAAGCACGATAAAAATCCTAGTCTACATTTGATCTAAGTTCAACACCTGATAGTCAGCTCTTACACAAATTCTAGCCCTAAAGATAGAAATAACCGGAAGTGACGATTAGTATTAATATCCACCAAAAACCTATACGGGTATTCGTCTGCCATTATAAGAAACGCACAAGGGGTAAATGTTTGTTCCTGAGTTGACGGAAGAAGATAAAACACGGAGAAACGAACTGGATGTTTTAGTGTGGTTGTAACAAAAAAGAAAGGGAAGGGCAGGAGCATCGTTTAACAACCTTTGCTGATTTCTTTGACAACGAAGAAGGGCGCGAGAGACGATCGAACAGAGCGACAAGCGCCACAGCCAGCATAAGAAGACCGTTTGGGAATTCGGGGGTGAGAATCACGCTGGAAGACGGAAAAGTGACGAGAGGATCGGGTTTCTCGTGTACAAGCGCCGCAGATAGAAGGCGAGCTGCACCATTTAGTAGAGCAGAAGCCCTTGCATCACTGGCCGTTAGCGCCCCGGTGGGACGCTGAGAGGAACAGCCAAGTACGTCTCGAACAGCCTTAACGCAAATAAGCAAAGATAATCAGTGGAAACGGACACACCCTGTAAATGTCAAAAGTGGCCTAAACTTAGGCGGTCATGGAAAGGTCAAAATGAGTAACTGTGTGTGCATGTGTGTTCCGAAGTTATAAATAATGCTCAGAAGAAACCTAAAAAAATGCAGAAGGATTACTGCGAATAGAATATACAGGGTGTCCACGAAGTCTGGGTACATAGGGGATAAATACATTCCTTTAGAACAACAGAAGTCCGGTCACTCGAACAGCGTGTATTGAGACACAGAGCAC